ACTTCGCATAGATGCCCTGAGCTCCCAATGTCAGGTGGGGCCCGACTTGGTGTACCTAAGATTACAGATGCCCAAAATCCAACCGATCAGTAGAGACAGTTACTGTAACACAGATATAATTTCCAAAATTTGTCATCTGTGGGAATTGAATCTTAGATCTGCCACTTGGGGGTTGACAACCTATTCACTTCATTAGGTCACCACACCTCGAAGATTTTTCATTATACAAACTCAACTTAACATATAAATTTATAAACAATAAATAGGTAAGATATGAATATAAAAATATTATACGCATTTGGCTACAACTTTCACCTCTATATAATGGCTCTTAATGAGAGAATTTCTGTCACATTAAGATTATTCTTCATGTTCACCATCACAATCTTAATCAGCTAACAGAAAATAATACAGTTTCATAGACAGTCTTATATCAACATTATCTTGAAAAAATTCATGCTAATCTAGTTAATCTATTTGGTTTTCCTATAGACAATAAAGAAGTCAATAATGTTGAGAAAGTAGATGAAAGAGAACAGCTTAAAATGATGAACAAAAGGAGCTCTATCTTGAATGAATTCTTTTGGCTGAAATGAGTTTAAGAGCAAATATAGTTAATTCTTATGACTTGGGATCTTATAGCATAAATAGGAGGATGACTGGATTAATAAGACTAGACAATGCTATTCAAATTCTGACATTAGAGATGCAGATATTTTTATGCAACAAGCTTCTAATACTTCTATAATGAAAGAAAATGCATCAAATAAAATTGATTATCAGACTTTAAATGAAGATTAAAAAATGGTCCTTAATCAAATAAAAACTCATTATCACAGTATACTTAAAGGCCATCAGGTTGAACTACTAAAAATTATTATAATGGGAACAGCAGAAACAGAAAAATCATATTTTATAAGAGCTATTTAAGACAGACTTCATATGATGACAGTAGACAAGGTTGATTCTCCTGTCCTTGTTTTTGCTTCAACAGGAGTTGCAGCTTTTAATATTAATGGGTCAACATTTCATTCAATGCTTTCCCTTTCTATATTATCTAAAAATAACTTTAATATAAGTGATAAAAGGTTGAATCAATTGCAAAGCAAACTAAGCTATATGAAATATTTTATTATTGTTAAAAAGAGCATGGTCAGGTGCCGTATGCTTGCCTTAATTGACATGCGATTGTGGCAAGCTTTTCCTAAACATAATAATAAACATTTTGGTAATTGATCCATTATTATATTCAAAAATTTTGATCAGCTCCAACCTATACTAGACCTTCTGATATATGCAAACAACATTTAGTGAGACCTATTTTCAAACAATGGCCTTACAGTGTATAAGCAGTTTATAGAAATGTATAAGCTTAAAGTAATTCAAAAGCAATCTGGTGATTCTGAGGAACAACAAAACTTTAGAAATATTCTCTTATATTTGCATAATAGAAAATCTACTATAACTGATTAAGAAACTCTTACTACAAGGGTTGAAGACAAATTAGGAAAAATCAAGCAAAAGCAATTCTCAGATGCTAAATATATTTTACCAAAATGGTTTAAGGTTGACAAAATTAATATAGAAAAGCTTAAATCATTGAATTGTCCTATTACAAAGATCATTGTCACACATACTGGCATTGGTGCAAAAAATGCAGATTCCAATGTAGTGATAGGTCTTGAAGCACAACTCTTATTGGCTAAAGGCACCCAAATTATGCTAACTGCTAACCTATGGACAAATGTAGGGTTAATTAATAGAGTGATAGGAATTGTTTAAGATATTCTATTTAAAGATTAATGGCTATTTTTTTTGTTTGTAGCAGTTTTAATTTTCTTTAAACATTATAAAGGCCCCACTATTAGTGCTTCAGACAGAAAGAAAGTTGTTTCAATTGCACCAATTTGGTGTATATAGAAAGGTAAGGTTGGAATATGCTCATGTTTACAAGTTCCTGTCTGTCTTGTGTGGGCCATTACTATGCACAAAAGTCAGAGTCTTATTTTGCCACAGGCTATAGTAGACTTTGGTAATAAAGAATTTGCTGCTGGTCTTTCATTTGTGGCAGTATCCAGGGTTTATGCTCTTAACAATCTAATGTTTAAACCATTTATTTTTGAAAGACTCTAGTATATAAAAAACTGTAGATGAATATAAGAAAAAAAGACTGAAGAAGAACAGTTGATCTCATTAAGTAATTGTTGAAAAAATAAAAAATTATTAGTTTTTAATTTTTAAGAATAAATGTTCAGAAAACTTTTTTTTAAAAAAAAATTAAATTATTTCCTATTATAAACTTGGCTTTGACTAATTACACATATAACCTGTAAATGATCATTATAAAAAAAAAAGTTAATATCGTATTTATATAAACATTGTAACAATAGTGAAAAAAAGAGTGATCATATAATTATAATATGTTATGTAATAAAATAAGTGATCAAATGTGTGTAATAAAATAAGTGATCAAGTGTGTATAATAAAATAAGTGATCAAGTGTACATAATAAAATAAGTAATAAATAATACTCATATTGTATTATGTAATAAAATAAGTAATTCTGTCAATATTGCATATTAATTCTTTACATGATGTAGTCAATCAATAATAAAATTATTTATTTTATGTTTACTTTAAAATATATGTTATGAATATAATTCTTCACATCGACATTCATACAGAGTGATCAGTTAAACTGAAATTATTTATATATAACTTCAAGTTTAATAGATATAATCTCTCACTTGGTGCAACATTAAGAGTTCTCCTGTTGTAGTACTCAAGCCAAGTCATATTATGTAATAAATAAAATATGCAATCAAGTAATACTTAAGCCAAGTCATATAATATTTATATTACATGAATATGCAAGTGGAGACAGACAAAAAGTACAAAGTTGTATTTTTGATATTTTTATTATAAATGCATCAATAATGATACTTTTGATGCATCAAAAATGTAACTTTTGTATCACTTTGCATAGAAATTAAAAGTCCTCTGCTATGCTCTGAACAATTAGTTGTTACTTGTTGACAACCTTTTTGAATCAACTATAATAGATTTTACTAGGTTTATTTAGAAGTTGTTTCAATTCATCTAAATCTTTAATTCATCTGATTTTTTAATGTTGCTTACAGAATTGAATAGTAAAAACAAATTTTGTAGCTATTCAGTTATCCTCTTTATTTGCAATAAAGACATTATTTGCATAATAGATTTATTGTTATTTATTAGTATTTCTTCTAAGAAAAACTAGCATGATTTTTTTTTGTTTAGCAATATTTTAATTATTAGCAATTGCAGCATTTTTAAAGTTAGCAATTCAGTTCAAAAGGTCTTGGGTTTCATCTTTATGAAAAGGTTTAATGTGGATAATATTTCATTCTTTTTATTTTCTTTTAGGTAGTTAAGAACATTATCTGCATTGATCATGATATTTTGAATTTGTTGGTTAGTTAAGAGGTTAATTATATTATTAGAATTAAAAAGTATTTCAAAGAAGTTATTATAATTTTTAAAGTTAAGATTAGGGTATCTGGCATAATGGCACAGGCATGCCAATAATGGCATGCATAGTGATATGCTAATAGCATGCCTCAATGCAGTTTGGTATACCATCTAATAAAATTTTTTAAATATATACTAATTTTTTTTATACTATATAATTTATATAAATAATATGCTATTAATATAAAATTAGCAAAATAAATAATTTATAAAATATATGCTTCAAAGACTTTTTTGTATTATATAAAAAACTATTTAAATATATAATATCTGCATATTAAATTATTAGAATTTTTTTATTAAAATATTTCATTTAGCATTAATAATTAATAAGTATATAATAATAAATAATACATAATATTAATAATTGAAATAGTTATTATTTAATATTATTATCTAATATTATATAAATAGTATGCCTCTACATAACATGCCAATTTTTTTGAATATGCAGATACCCTAGTCAAGATGATAGGGTAATTTAAAATCTTTTTTTATTAATATAAAGAAATTTTTTAATAACAGTTTGTATAGACAGCTAAAGATACTATACTTTTAATAATATTAATAATATTTTTAAGAGAACTAGAATATTTAAAACTAAAAATAAGTTTAAAAATAGTGTTTTTTAATTGAGATAGGTTGAGTTAAATATAGATTTGTTTAATCTAGCTAAAATATTCTATAGCTTTGTTAGAGAAGTCACAAGCAAAGTATTGTTTTGTATATCAAAAATAAAAATTTTGAAAGTTAGAAGCTATAGTTGTAATTATAAAGTAACAAATTTTACAAAAATCATCTTGTTTTAATATAGGTAATTGGATAGTATGTTTTTGGATATGTGTAAATATTTTAAATAAATATCTTTTAAAGTTAAATTATATATATTATCAATTTAAATGCTGTTTGTTATAATGCAAACACTTATTTTTTTATTTTAAATTATAATTTTTAAATATCAGTAAATATTATCTAATATTACTATAAAAAAGACATTATTATTTAAAAGAAAGTTGTAGAGTAAGTTTTTCCAGTTTTAAAAAAAATTAAAATGCTAAAATGGTCTAGTGGTTGCTAAAATATAGATGCTTAAAGTTTGTATAATGATAGTTGGAATGTTTTTCCAAGAGAGTTTTTATACAAATTCTTTGCAAATCAAAAATTCTATCACTACTTTGACATTGAATAGCAGGTTCTATAGAGATTTCTTACTAAGATATATCTAATAAAAATGATGTAATAGGTTTTTAAGTATATACTTTTCAAATTTTAGATTAAATAGACTAATATTGAAAGAGTTTCTTTATAACTAACTAAGATCAATTATCTATAGTAAATTGAGAACTTATCTCATAATTATTACTAAAATGTTAACTTGTAGTTTTTCTTTTAACTATAATAATAACAGAAGCTGCTTCTATAGTATGATAACTATAACTTGCCAGATTCTATATAAAGTCTATACAAGACTTAACAATATACAGAGTGATTTGGAATTTTAAAGCAAAGGCAATAATAGATAGTATATAAAAATACTAAATATTATATTTAGTTTATTCACTATTAAAATATATAAACATTTAACTTTTTTAAAAGGTCAGAAAGTTGTGCTTTTATTTATTTATTTTTTTTTAATATTAATGATGAGGCCATGCCTCTATCTTTATTGAATATTTAATTGAGATTTTACATAAAGTACAA